TCAGATTTGTTTATTTTGTGATGATATCTTCAATTCTCTAATTTTGGTGAATATTTTGTAATTTTTGGTAAAAAGTGATACTTTTGACTTCTTGTTAAAAACCAAAAGTTCAATTGCTTTGATATTACATATATAGATACTACATGTAGACCTTCCTCAGATTTGTTCATTTCATGATGATATCTTCAATTATCTAATTTTGATGAATATTTGTCATTTTTGGTAAAAAGTGATATTTTTGAATTCTTGTTGAAAACAGCAAGTCCGATTGCTATACAAACTATACATATTGTTCATTTTCTAATGATGTCTTCAGTTCTTTAATTGAAATGTGCATTGCTAGCAGCGGAGCTATCTCAGTCGATAGGTTGCTTGTTGATGAAACTTGGTGCATAGTGCTCTGGGCCAATGCGCAGATTTGATTAGGTTTTGATAAAAATCCATGCTTATTAATTACCTAATTTGCATGATAATCAGCTGATTTTTTTAGCTGTTCCATGACTTTTCCACTGATAACTAAAGAACCACTCATTAGATTTTGATGAAACTTGGCACATAGATGCTCTGAACTAATGCGCAGATTTGATTAGTTTTGGGTAAAAATCTGTGCAATATTAATCATCTAATTTGCATAATGATTAATCAATTTTTGGCTTTTCCACTGATATATCAGTACATAATAATTACCTAATATGCATAATTAATTAATTTTCAGCTTTTGATATTTCAAGTAGTAATCATCACATTTCAATGAAACTTGGTACATGGTTACTAGCTTTAGGGTAAATATTTGTGCATATTAATTACCCAATTTGCATAATTAGTTTTTTTTTTTCATGAATGTTCCATTGATATATAAAGAACCACTAATTGGATTTTAATGAAACTTTTAAAGAGTATTCATCATCACATTTCAATGAACCTAGGACTAAGCAGAGACCCAATTAGTTTTTGGTAAATATTTATGCTTATTAATCACCTAATTAAAATAATTAACACTGATATCTCAACTCTGATCATCACATTTGAATAAAATTTGGTACATAAATGCTTTAGGACAATAGACAGGCCCGATTAATTTTGGGTTGAAATTTGTTAATATTAATTCTCTAATAATAATTCATAGTTTTTTGTTGTCATCACATTTCAATGAAACTTGGTACATAGATATTTTATTAAGCAGGCCTTATTAGTTTTACACTCAAATCTGTTCATATCAGTTACCTGATTTACATAATTAGTTATCAGCTTTTCCATCAAAATCTCAAGTAAAAGTAATTTTGAATTAATTTTAATGTGTCTTCAATACTCTCAGCACACGGGAGTTCTTTCTAAGCTTTCTTTGATTACAATTAAGATCACAACAACTCAGTACGTTACAGTACAGAAGCTGAGCAGTCCTAGGTTGGTACCTTCTAATTTGATGTTGGGTCACATTAGACCATTTCGGCATAATTCTATGGTAATTTCCAAATCGATGCTGGATTTCAAATTGTGTCAGACCCGCACACTCCATCTCAACGCTGAGAGGAAAGTGATCCAACAACATAAAATCATAATATGTATTTTCCTAATTGCGTTGTGAGCAGAGGGTGTACTAAGGCAGTGATCTAACCACCCAGTACTACCATGAGCCTCACTGTGTAATATGTAAAGTTTCCAGTGGAACGACCAAGTAAACATATATCCGAAAC